TTGGTGAGTAACCAAACACCACTGATTTGTACGTGAATTTGAACCCACTGGATTTGTATTTAAAGTTTATTTATTTATGTGTTGAAGGCATCTCTACACACAACCTGAGGCTCGAATTCACGACCCGGAGATCGAGAGTCGCATACTCTTCCGACTGAGCCAGCCAGGCGCTCCTGACTTCATTTTTATTGTTTTTTTTTTTTTTTTAAAGATTTTATTTATTTGACAGAAAGAGACACAGCGAGAGAGGGAACACAAGCAGTGGGAGTGGGAGGGGGAGAAGCAGGCTCCCCGCCAAACAGGGAGCCAGATGCGGGGCTCGATCCCAGGACCCCATGATCATGACCTGAGCCGAAGGCAGATGCTTAACGACTGAGCAACCCAGGTGCCCCCTGACTTCATTTTTAAAAGAGTGAATTATATGGGTATGTAAATTATATTTCAACTGAAAAAGAATGGATGGTTTCAGCTTTTTCTACATCAATACTACATGTAGGGTGACCATGAAATATACTTTTAATGTGTTGGAGGAACAGAGGACCTAGATTTTATATTTAGCTAAAATATTTAAATATGAGGCCCTGATAAAAATATTCCTAGGCAAGCAAGATTTCAGAAGGCAATATAAAGGCTTGCACTGAAAACATCTGGGATGAAATACTTTTTTGGGGGGTAGATATTATTTATTTGTTCATTTGACAGAGACAGAGAACATAAGCAGGGGGAGAGGGAGAGGGAGAAGAAGCAGGCTCCTCTGAGCAGGGCGCCCAATGTGGGGCTCGATCCCAGGACCTGGGATCATGACCTGAGCCAAAGGCAGACGCTTAACCAACAAATGCTTAACTCACTGAGCCACCCAGCAGCCCAGGATGAAATACTTTTAATACAGACACTAAAATAAAATAGGAAGGATTAAAAGAGACAGAAAAGTATGATACACTTTAAAAAAGATTTTATTTGTTTATCTGAGACAGAGAGAGAGCAGAGGGAGCAGCAGAGGCAGAGGCAGACCCCAAAACCAGGGTCCTGGGATTGAGCCCTGCATTGGGCTCCCTGCTTAGCGGGGAGTCTGATTGTCCCTCTCCTTCTCCCTCTGCAAATGTGGTCTCTCTTTTTTCTCAAATAAATAAATAAAATCTTTAAAAAAAAAATAAAGATTCATGGGGTGCCTGGGTGGCTCAGTGGGTTAATCCTCTGCCTTTGGCTCGGGTCATGATCTCAGGGTCCTGGGATTGAGCCCCACATCGGGCTCTCTGCTCAGCGAGGAGCCTGCTTCCTCCTCTCTGTCTCTGCCTGCCTCTCTGCATACTTGTGATCTCTGTCAAGTAAATAAATAAAATCTTAAAAAAAAAAAAAAGATTCAATTCCCAGGTTGCCTGGCTAGCTCAGTAGGGGGAGCATATGACTCTTGATCTCAGTGGTAGTGACTGAGACATTACTTAAAATCTTAAAAAAAAAAAAATTTCAATTCCCAATGAACATACAGAAATAAAAAATATGTATATCGTCAATATATATGAAGTAAAGCAAAAATTGACAGTGTTACAAGGAAAAACTGATCAGTTTCTCATCACTGTGAGATCTCTACGCACAGCTCTCACTTATTAATAGGTTATGTAGAAAAAAATCCCCAGCAATAATATAGAAGATTCAAACAGTGCAATTAGCAAGCTTGACCTAAGAGACATTTTACCGAGTTCTGCATTTAGGGAATATACATTTTTCTTAAGAACATGTAGAATAATCAAGTAACAAATCACCTCAACACATTTCACAGAATAAGTAGCGTGTAAGACATGACCTTTGACCTCAGTGTCAGAAGTTAACAATAAAAAAATCTAAAAAACCTAGAAGTGAATAATGCAGCGGACCTTATACTTTTTTTTTTTTTTTAAAGTAGGCCCTATTCCCAGCTTGAAGCCCAATGTGGGGCTTGAACTCATGACCCTGAGATCAAGACCTGAGCTGAGATCAAGAGTGGGACACTTAGATGATCGAGTCACCCACGTGCTCCGGTCCTCACAGTTTTGACCTTAGAATCCCCTTAAAATTGAGGGATCCAACCTACACAATCAACAAAGGACTAATATCAAGAATATGTGTGTGTGTGCACACACATTCCTCTGTATACACACACACACACATAAACAAATGCATACACGGAGGAATACAAAACTCCCACAAATAAATAAGAAAAGCTCTAGTAACTCAATCAAAAAATGGGCAAAAGCAAAAACAGGCATTTCACAGAAGAGGAAACATATGGCCAATAAACATACGAAGATATCCAAAATAGATACAGAACTTATAAAACTCAACACCCCAAAAACAAATGATCCAATTTAAAAATGGGCAGAAGCCATTTCTCTAGGGAAGACATCAGATGGCCAGCAGACACATGCACAGGTGCTCACCATCACTCATCATCAGAGAAAGGCAAATCAACACTACAGCAGGTGTCCCCTCCCACCTGTCAGAGTGGCTAAAATCAACCCAAGAAACAGGTGTTGACGGGGATGCAGAGAAAAAGGAACCCTCATGCACTGCTGGTGGGAGTGCAAAAAACAGTATGGAGGTTCCTCAAAGTCTTGAAAATAGAGCTACCCTATGGCCCAGCAATCGCACTATGAGGCAGTTACCAGAAGAACACCAGAACGCTAACTGAAAGGGATACAGGCGCCTGTATGTCTACAGCAGGATTATTTCTAATAGCCAAGATAGGGAAGCAGCCCAAATGTCCACTGACTGATGAACGGATAAAGAAGAGGTGGTGTATATATATAAAATGGAATATTATTTATCTATAAAAAAGAATAAAATCTTGCCATTTGCAATGACATGGATGAAACCAGACAGTATGAGGCTAAGGGAAATAAGTCCGAGAAAGACAAAATATCGTATGATTTCACTCATGTGGAATTTAAGAAACAAAACAGATGAGCAAAGGGAAAAAAAAAAAGAGAGAGACAAGTCAAGAAACAGACTCTTAACTACAGAGCACAGACTGCTGGTTATCAGAGGGGAGGGGGTGGGGAATGGCCAAAATCAGTGAAGGGGACAGAGGCGGGCGCTTGTGAAGAGCTCCGGGTGACGTATGAAGTGTTGAATCCCTACACCGTACATCTGAAACTAATCGCACACTGTGTGTTAACTGGAATTACATTAAAATAAGAGAAAAAAGCCATCCAGAGAGATGTTTCACATAATCTGAAGCCAGGGAACGCCATGTCAAGACCATTCTCTGATTTGAGGGGATACTACTCTACACCCCACTTGCCCAATGAACAGTAAAAGGTGTTTGAGAGGAAGCAGACCCAGAGAATCTCTATCCGCCACCGGTAGTTAACTTGTGAGCTACTTTGGAAAACAGACATCACCATCTCTTAAAAACAGGGAATGAACACAGACCATGATCCAGCAAGTCCACTTTAAGGTCTATCCGGAGGAAAAACTCTTGCGCGTGCACAATAGAAACTTATAAAAATAGTTTAGAGCAGCGAAAACCCTGGGAACTATCCCAAAGCGCATCAGCAGGAAGGGACACGTAAGTCACAGCACGTTCATGCGGTATGGTATCAGTCCCACCTTGGTGACAAGCCATGTGGATGACTCAGTAATATGTTAGGTGGAAAAACAAAGCCCCTAAGAGAACACACAGTTTGACACACTTTTTATCAAAACTAACTCTAAGGTACAATGAGCCCAGAGAAGATTATCAGGCTGTACGGGAGGGCGGGGGTCCAGGGTAGCAGCCATATAGGTAGATGCAGGTTACAGTCTAGGGCCTTTTACTTGAAATGATGGCTTCTTGGATGCTTGTGAGGTTAATCAAAGTAACCAGTTAACCGGTTCACAGAGCGAGGACGGTGCAGGGACAGAGGTTTCTGTAATCTAACTATGTGAACTTCAGGTCAAGATAAAGAAACAAAACAAGCGGGCTCGAGCTCCACTGGGCGCTGTTTCACCAGCACAACACGCGCCCTCCTGCCCCCAGGGCTACTCCTCCCAAACCTCTTCTCTCCTTCCCACCCCACCCCCAATCCCTCCTGGCATCCCGTGCTCTCTGACAGCAGACATCACACCCCTTCCAACGAGCCCTTCTCCACGCCTCCCTGATCCAGGTCTGTCTTCCCCCAATAGGGAGCTTGTGCTGGGCAGAGGCTCTGTCTGCGTGTCCCCTGCGTGTCCAGTGAGGATTTGCTGTCAGCCCTCACACTTCACGACCTTCTCTGCCAACTCCTGACCACCTTGCCTAATCCCGACATGTTTCCGTCTCCAGTTCAAACTGGCTCTTTTTGTGGGAAGTCACAGTGAGTACTTCCTCCCCTAAAACACCATCCCTTCCTATTTCTTCCCTGTGGTCGGTGCCCAGATCTGGGCCTCCTCCTCTTTTACCTGCACCTCTGGTTCTTTCTCCACACTAATCGCCCGAGATCCTTCTAACCCCAGCGAAAACCCTTCCATGGCTCCTCACTGCCCTCGAGACCAGTCAGTGACCACCATGCTGCTCTCACCCACTGCGTGTTCTCTCAGCCGGCAAACAGGCTTCTCCTCCAACACAAGGACCCCTTTCACTTAGAGAAAGCTCTCCAGCCTACCCCAAGGCCGGGGGGCCATGTCCTCCTTGAAGCTCCCACTGGAATGTCAACTCTGCTCCCAGACCACCCGCCCCCTGAACAGGGGGCGCTCTGCACACATCTGCCGTCGGCTGAGGCACAAGGCCTGGCGCAAAGCGGGTCGCCCCTGCTGGGAGGGAGGGACAGCCTCTTGTATTCTTTCTGTATACTTTACAAGGCACGATCTCTTGTGACAGCTTTTGGATTGAGGCTAGTTTTTAAGGCCGTATGTTTTTTCCTCTGACCTGCGGTAACCCCCAAGAACAGTATTTTAGCAGTCTCTGCTCGGGGCACCGTGCTAGGCCGGGGGCCTTTGCTCACTGACAAGCAGGGTGGGGCCTAGCAGAACCTATAGCGCTCCTTTGCCCTAGAGCCTTTACTCACCGTGTTGAAATACTCGACGCCGGTGGCTTCAAAGGCCCTTGCCACAGCTTGGGTTGTGGCCACACAGGCTACCGGGTGACCATTGCCAATCGACTTGCCCATGGTGACAATGTCGGGGACAAAGTCTTCTCCCTGCAGCTGGAAGGCCCAGAAGTGCTTGCCTACTCGGCCAAAGCCCACTTGAATCTCGTCTGCGACAAAGAGCCCTCCGGCCCTGTGGATGTGCCTGTGGCAGAGGACAGATGGCTGACAGGGTCTGCGGTAAGAGGGATCGGACTGGGAGCTTGCGGGTCTTGGACTCTGAACCCTGGCTCTGACAGCAGTGAGGTGGGGGCATTAGGCAGGTGGCTGGCTTTCCTGGGGCCACCATTTCTTCTCAAAATTCTGGCCAAAAGGCCAGGCTGAGGCTGGAATTTGGAACAAAGGTCGGGAAGCCCCAGGACAGCCCTGCCCTCCCTGAGGCACCCCCGCCCAGCTACTCACTCTGCCACTTTGGGGAAGTAGCCGGCCGGGGGAATGATCTGCCCTGCAACACTGGGCAGAGACTCCACAAAAAAGGCTGCGATCTGCGGAGGAGACAGAATGCTGGGGACACCGCTGGGGAGGCATGGGTGGTATGCTAGACGCATCCTGCCGGCGCTGGCTCAGCGCTGGCTCCTAGCAGGACGAGTCCCCAGCATCGCTGTGCGGCCCCTTTGGGCTCCAGATCACAGCTGGTCTGTGACCAGGTTTTCTTTTGGGCTGCAAACCAACTCTTACCACATGGAATTCTCCAGACTCCTTATACTTAGCACGTCCCAGATGAAAGCCACTGATTTCTCCCTCACCAGCCTGTTCCTTCTCTGCTCCTACCTGGTGCCTCCCACCACCCCACTGAGAGAAACATGGGCCCCCTCCGTGATCCATCGGTCAGCATGGCCTCTGCCTCTCTACTGTCTGTGCATCCCCTGCCTCCCCTCCACCTGGACACGCCTGCCTCGACCTCCTGCAGATGTCACCTAACGGGATGCCTCCTGCAGTCAGTCCGTCATCCAGCGGCCACCAGGGCGATCCACAGCTCAGCCACTGAACTCATCACTGTTCTGTTTAAACCCCTTCAGTGACCCCATTTCTCCCAGCCATGACCTCTAAGCAGTGTCAGGTCTCGGACCTGCTGCAGAGACTATGGCCCAGGGGAAGGGCTGATGGGGCAGGAACCAGACACCCCTGCTGCCCCCAGAGCCATCACTTTTCTGTAAGCGGAGGCCAAGCATCTGAAACACACACGCCAAGCTCCCCTGATCTGGTCCTGCCCATCATTCTGGCTTCATTGCCTGCCTGTCTTGGCCGAACATCCTGCGTTCAGCTGTCACTGCATCAGCAAGGCCTTCCAGAAAGCCCTGACACCACTCGTTGACTCCCTGCCACTGCTGCGGCCCCGGCCACGGCTCCCCCGGAACACACACCCCTCCAGTCTCTGCCCCTGCGCTCCCTGTCCACCACAACACCCTGCGTGGGGCCTCCTCCCGGCGGTGGGCTGGCTCCACTCACGGGCATCCCCTCCACCCCCTCTTGTCACTCTCCCTCTGAACACCCTTCAGACCTTCCTGGTGGCCTCCAGCCCCTTGACATAGCCCTTGTGGTCCCTTGCCACAGGGGGCCTGCCTGCCTCTCCGGGCCTGTCTCCTGCCAGCTCAGCCGGGCCCCACACCAGGGAGGGTCCACCCCTGCAGGCCGCCCCCCTGCTCAGCATGCCTTTCCTCTCCTCCCCGCACCCCTGGCCACTGAGTGCCAACCCCACTTACTGCAATCAGGCAGCACCTCCGCCAAGGACCCTCTTCGCGCCCACACCAGTCCAGCCCTGGCCCCTGGCCCTGTCACATCCAGTACAGGTCTTTAGCTAAACTCTCTGCAGAACACCTAAACCTTCTAGATTCCTCAAAGGTGGGCTCTGGTTCCAGGATCTCTCAGGGCCCCGGTGTTTGCTGTTCCGTTCCTGGGGACTGTGCATGTGTGTTACCTTCCTGCCCTTCTCCTGCACGCTGTTCACCACATGCTGCACCTCGCTGGCGTAGGCCCCTGCTGGATTGGGGTGGTCCTCCCGGTAAAGACCCCGGTAGGTGTCTGGGAGAGGTGCCTGTGGGGAGTGACAGCGTCGTGTCATCCAGGCTCGGGGGGGAGCACCGACCTGGTGCCCGCTGGGCAGTGCATACCACATGGACCCACTCCTTCTGGCCATCCAGGTCTCGGAACTTGTACGGGCTGATGTCGATCAGGGAGCTCAGGTGACCGTGATAAGCGCTGAGGAGGAGAAGGGGGGAGTGGCTCAGGCCCGGGTGGCCCATATTCCGTGGCCCGGCCCCAACAACAGTCTCCCCACCTCAGGAGCCTCAGGGCAGACCAATGTGACACAGCGTCCCAAGTCCTAGAGCTGGGAACCAGCACAGGCCTGGGAGCCCGGGAGCCAGACCTCCTGCGAGGCCGCTTACTAGCTAGGTAATGGTGACTGATCATTTGGCCTCTGTGGCTTCAGTGCTCTTCTCTGTGAAGTTGGGGGCGGGGGGTGGTTTCCTCCTACAGAACTATAATGAAGCCTGAGTGGGGTGATGTTCCAGCCCTGGGCCTGGGCCCCGTGCACAGCAGACACTCAGTGCCGTCAGGACAGTTTTAATACCTAAACTGTGGGGCCAAGTCTCACTTCCTTACAAAGCATCCTCTACTCCCAGAAGAGAGGCCCTGGGGGGGTGGGGAAGAGCCCCCTGGTGCGTGTAGGGATGTCTCTATGGCCAGGTCCTCATGCTTCCCTCCATGAGCCCAGGCCCCTCATCCCCTACCCGAGGCACTTAAGGCTAGAGCCTCGCTCACCCCCAGATAAGTGGTGAGCCCAGGCTTCTGGAAAGGGCACTTACTGGTCTAACACCACCACGTCCCAGTGTCCCGTGTACTGGCGGGCCAGCCTCAGGGCCAGGTCATTGGCTTCTGACCTATGACAAAAAAGGAGGGCACTGCTCAGACAGCTGCCCACAGGTTTCCTCCTGGGTACGTGCTTCCTACAGAGAAACCAGGAGGGAACGAGGAGCCCTTCCAGCAACAAGAAGATTCTCAGGACACCATGTGTGAGTCGTTCGACTTCATTCATTCAAAGAAAATTTTATCAAATGCCTTCTGTGTGCAATGAGCTGGGGGTGGGGGCAAGCAGTAAGTCCAATAGTCCTGGCCCTCCTGGAACTTACATTCTACGGTGGGTCTTGAAAGCCAAGCCCAAACAAAATCAAAACCAAAACCAAAACAAGGAAAGAAAGATCACTTTGCTAAATGCCTCCAAGAGAACCACACAGGGCCTTCCTTTAGATGAATGGGTGGGAGAGGCTGAAATGTGTCCCCCAAACTTCCTATGCTGAAGCTCTAACTCCTAGCACTGAAGAATGTGACTGTATTTGGAGACAGGGCTTTCAAAGAGGTGATTCAAATGATGCTGGGAGAATGGGCCCTGGGCCCTGGGCCCTGAGCCAGTCAGACTTGGGTCCTTCTAAGAAGAGCTGTGGACAGAGAGACACCACGAGGTGTGTAGGCATGGAAGATGGAGGGAAGACACAGCAGGAAGGTGGCCAATCGCAAACCAGGGAGAGAGCCTCAGAGAAGCCAAAGCTGCTGACCCCTTCTTCTTAGACACTGGAGAGCAGGAGTAGGGGAAATACATTCCTGTCACTTAGGTCTCCCAGTCTGTGGTGGTGTTTTGTTAAACGGCAGCTCAGCCAAATACAGGGGTCAGAGGAACTCTGTGGAGACACCACCTGAACTGAGGCCCCAGGGGAAGGTTCTAGGTGGTGTGAGCACCACGCTCAAAGGCCTTGAGCAGGAAAAGTGCTCAAGTGTGCTCAGGGAACTGAGATGGCACAGGCTGGGGGCAGCACGGGAGAGGAAGTGGGGAGACACTCAGAGGCCCTGCACACAGGGCCCTGGAAGGTGCTGGGTTTCTTATCAGTGCTACGTCAAGCTACTGAAGAGGGTTTTTGTTGTTGTCTGAAGATTTCATTTTCTTAGGTCGTCTCCACAGCCGACGTGGGGCTCGAACTCACAACCCCAAGACTGAGTCACATGCTCTACTGACCAAGCCAGCCAGGCGTCCCTGGAGAGTTTTAACTGGAGAAAGGACATGATTTAGTTCCCACCTGGGGAGGAAGCCTCTGGCTGTGTGGGGCTAATGTAGTAGGAGATGGGGGAGAGCAGAAAGATGGATGGAGGTAGAAGACAACCAGGGCACATGATGGGGGCCTGGGAGAAGGTGTGTGGGTCCTGCCTGGAGCAGAGACGTAGATGGTGCCGCCTTTACGAGGTGAGACGGGGTGGGGGTGGCAGTAGTGGGAGGGGGATGTCCTCCTGGGAAATCCCAGGAGAGCCAGGGCCACAGTCCCACAGCGGGTGTTGGCAGAAAACAACCAACTCCTTTTGGACACATCAAGTTGGAGATGGTTCAGAAGTGGGCGGCTAGAACCTTGAGGCTGGAACACATGGGAAGCATCTGGGCCTGACACAAATTCGGGAATCACCGCACGCAGACGCTGTGTAAGCCCATAGGAATGGAGGAGATCGTGGAGGGAGAGGGCTCGGAGAGACAGCTGCTCAGGACGGGCCCTGAGCAAGAGAGGAGCACTCGGCCGAGGAGACAAGAGACGGAGGCGTGCCTAGAAGCTGGCAGAAACCCCGGGCACGAAGCATCCTGGAAGCAAGAGAAGAGAGCGTTTCCAAAGAATGCTCACGCCGGCTCGATGGCTGAGACAGTAAGATGAGGGCAGCAAAGAGACCATTGGATTTGGCAACGCGGAAGTCACTGGAATCCAGTCTGAGTGCGGTGGAGTTAACCAGCAAATGTCCCAGCCCAGGAAGCTCTGGCTCCTGGGCCCAGCTCTCCACTCTTCCCGGAGATGCTCTGATTCCGGTTTTGCCTTCTCCCCCATGGATGACCCCGGGCAACCCGGATCCTTTCTCTGAACTACTGTTTCCTCAGCTGCAAAGTGAAGATGGGAAATTTCACTTCCTAGAAGTGACCAGAGACTGGTGCGTGAAGGGGAAAACGATGATGCCAGTACTTATCGTTATGATCCAAGTGCCAAGGGGCGGGGTTTGTGGGAATGTGCTCTCCCAGGCAGGTTAGGCTGGTTCTGTGCACACGTCATCATCGCCTGACGATTCTGCCTCCATTGCCACTCTGGGTGTGAGCTACCATCACCTGTCACCACTGGTGCCTAACCGTGCTCATTCTCGCTCCTCCTCGGCCCCAGTGACATCACTTGCCTGATTTAAACTCTCTGACGGCTTTCCCAATGCTTAGGATCAAAACAAACTCCTCACTTAGAGTGTATCCGCTTGCACCGGCTCCTCTCCCTTCAGGTCCTCAAGTGTGCACAGGCCCTTTGCACAGGCTGTTCCGTGTGCTGAGGAACCCTGACGAGGTCACTTCCAAAAGGGTGGGCAGCTTCCTTCCTGTTCATCAGCTTGTGCCTGAGAGCACTTTCAGGGCAACCTTCCCTGACCTTAGCCGCATGCCCAGGGCCCCCCACTGCTTGACCTCATCACGGTACTTACTTCCCCTCCAGACAATGACCCCCCCCTTTAGGAATTCTGCACTTCTGTGAGGGACCCCTCAATGTTTCTGTTCCTTCAGATGTTTCTGTTCCTTAGGGAGTGACCTAAGGGGATGTTGGCTGTAGGCCCCCAGGTGTCTGTGCCGATGTACTCCTAAAGCACAAATTAAGAAACCTATAACCCAGGTAAGCCCCAAGGACGATCATGGAACAGAGGTTATGGCATGCCTAACGAAGAGACCAGAAAACTGGATCCAACAGAGCCAGGCCGAGGTCTACAGGCTCAGCCGGGGCAAGGCTGCCTCTCCCCCAGCACATACTGGGTCCACCACACAACGTTTCGCCCACGTGAGCAGTTCTGTCTTCACCATCTCAGCCTCTGGCCCGGGGTGGCGGAGGGAGAAGGGGAAGGGATGGCAGAAGTCCACTTACCCAGAATTCAGGAAATAAAACACACAGAGCTTCTCCGGCAGGGTCTCTGACAGCCTCTGCGCATAGTCCACGATGTTGTCGTGCAGGTAGCGGCTGTTGGTGTTGAGCATCTGGTTCTGTCCGTGCGCGGCCCGGACCACGACAGGGTGGCAGTGTCCGACTGGGAGAGAGCCACCGGTGTCACACAGTGGCTCTGCTTGGCCGGTCCCACCGGACCTCCCCCAGCCCCAAGCCATAAACCTAGCTGGAGAAGAGCAGTTGCAGGGGAGAGATGGGGAGGGAAGAGGGGAGCCTCAAGGTGGGGAGGGCAGAGAGGCCTGTTCTGGAAAGGGAGACCTGGAAAAGGTGTCCCTGAGATTCTGGCAGAAGAAACCCTATCTAGAAAATTCATGTTTTTAGGGAAGCTTCTTGAGGCCTGCTTGACAAAGATGGGAACGTGGGGAGTGTCCACGGGCAGGCTTGACTTCCACAAGTCATCGGGGGCTGGAGGAAATGCTGACGGCCAACAGCCGCGGATTATAACGGTGAACACGTGTTGGCGGCTCGCCGTGTGCCAAACACACTCAGAGCTAATTATCGGAATTAACTCACGGGTTTCTCCAAAACACCTTGAGGCGAGTAGCTCATAGGATCATGTCTATTTTGCAGATCAACAAAATGAGGCACTGAGAATTAAGGAGCTTGCCCAAGTAAAGTAAGTGGAGGGCAGGGATATGAACCCAGGGAGTCTGGACCAGAGCCCCCACTTCTAACCTCTACTACATTAACCCCTGATGTGTCTGTTGGGTCACAGACTCCCTTTCGTTCCACCAGCTCTGGCAGCCCCACCTGGATAACTGAATTCCTACCTCAGTTTCCTTGTCTACCCCTGAGAGGGTCCTTGGGGCTGACGCCCTGCCGTGATCCCCCAGCGCTTGGCTGGGGCCCTGCTGTGTACCTGGTCATGGCCAGGTTGACTGACACTCTCTGAGCTCACCATCAGTCCCATGTGGGACTGGACTGCAGACCCATGTTTCTGACTCCTGCGTGGTTTAGCAGAGCTCCCGCTTGGAAACTCTAGAGTAGTCACACCAGAAAGGGCTCCTCTGGTCAGCTCGGTCCAAGTTCTCCACAGCTGTCTGCAATCTCAGGCCCCCCCTGGGACCAGGTTCACAGCCTCAGCGGGTTCCCAGCCAGCCTGAGGGATGATACTAACCATGAGCCACATTGTTGATACAATCGAGGTATTCTGCTCCCTCTTCGTCATACAAGTACTGTCCTTGGCCCCGGACAATCTTAATAGGATCCTCCGGGTAAAAGAGTCTGCAAGAATCGCTGTGGGGACAGCAAGGAGTGGACAGCCACGTCTGAAGACCAGAAGGGAAAAGTCCACCCACCACAGTTCCCCCCTCCTACCCTCTCCCCTATCCCGTTTCTGGAAGGGACAAAAGGTCGAAGGGCACAGTGGTGTTTCCCTGCTTCTAGGCTGGAGAGGAGGAAAGTGACGTACCCATCGGTAAGAAGCTGCTAAAATTGAAACTGTTTAAGTCCTGGGAAGGCTACATGGCCTTGCTCATTTCTGCACAGGCCCAGGGAGAGGTGGCTGCCCCGGACCCACGGGGCTCCTTCGGGCAGTGTTTCTTCGCTGGGATGGGTGTGAAGGAGGGCGCCCCCATCAGGTGGCTGGCTCCCAGCCCTGAGCGGTCCTTGCCCCCGACGGTCTCCGCCGCCCCACTGGGTGTCAGCCCCAAGCTCTGGCCAGAGGCTGCCTCACGGCCCAATGCCGCGCAGAGTCCCCCTCTCGGGTTACGGGTAGCCTTTCTCTAAGGCTTCTTGGGCGACGCGCCCCCCACCCCATGCCCACCCTTCGTCCGAACTTTCAGCCCCTTCCCGGGTCACCCTCAGGCCAGGCCCGGGAGGTCCCGGGGGCGGGCCAACCCTGGGGGAGGGCGTCCCGGTGCCAGGGCAGAGGCCTCCTCCGAGGGGCAAAGGCTGCCCACAGCCGGGCAGCGGCCGCCGGTAGGGGCAGACGGGAGAGGGCGCCGTGAGGGAGGTGGCCGCGGGGGCCAGCTGGCCGGGGAGCGGGAGCGCGCTCTAGGCCCGGGGCTGGAGTTCCCGGGCTCCGCGCCGGACGTGCGTGCGTCGTGCGTGCGCGCCCCGCCCCGAGCCCCCGTCTCGGTACCTTAGCAGCCGCCGCCTCAGGGCCAGCGTCTCGGCCTTCCCCCGCACTACGGCGGCCATGGCACCCGGCGGCTGGTCGCGCGGGGACGCTGAGCAGAGAAGGCTCTCGCGTCCTCGGCCGCCAAGCCCCGCCCCCGCCGCGCCCGGGCCCCGCCCCCGCCGCGCCCGGGCCCCGCCCCCGCCGCGCCCGGCCCCTGCGGTTTCCCTCGCTGGGGAGGGCTCCACCATGACCCGGACGCTTCCCGGTATGACAGCAGAGTTCTGAGCTCAGCGTTCAGTCTCCGAGTCGCCTTTCTGGTGTGTAAAATGGGTTCCCCTGTGAGCGTTAACTGGGAATGTGTGCCAGGCACCCAGCGGAGGCCTGGTTCACAGCAGGAGCCCCAGGGTAGGAGATGAGATAGTCAGTGCTGGGGCCTGACCTAGGGCTTTCCGGTCTCACGGAGGAACAGCAGGAGGGCGCAGTGTCACTGCTGGGACTGACCGAGGGGGTCATGGCACCTGCTGCAATCCAGGCAGGGTGAACGGAGATGCATCAACGCTAGGAGAACACACGCAGTGTGGAGGCAGGACGAGGGTTGGGAGGCCCGCCAGGAGACCCAGGGGCCCAGAAAGGACAGGGACTGTGCTCCCAGACACACAGCTTGTGGGCAGCCGAGGCTGGAACGCAGCTCGGTCCTGTCTGACTGTCGGTCCAGTGAGTCAGCAGCAATCGCTGGCCCCCACGGGGCTGAGAATCTGGGCTACCAGAGAGAGAACCCCAACTGGAGTGGGGCCCCGGGACTTTCTGCCTTGACGAACCGAGAACAAGGGACCCAATTTGAGGCCTGAGCTAGCTGAGGAAGGGGAGGTTCCTGCTGTCCCTCCTGCCGCCTTTCCAGTCTCAGCCCTCTGCTTTGCTCCCTCATTGCTGATTTCTTCATCTCTTCCCCCCACGCAGTAAGGTAAGCCTCCTCTTCCACCTCGGTTCATCTGGAAAAGGGGAGCATCATCCTCGTGGTTAGTCAAACCACCGTGGGGCTCAGTAAATGTGCTTCCCTCGCTTCAGAAGGGGGTGGCCTGAGGCAGAGAGACACGAGGTTCTCAGTCCTTGAGGCTCAGCTGGAACCTCGAGCGCATCATTCACTCTCCATGTCTCCTGCCCCCAAGCCGAGCTCTTGGAGAACTCCACCCCCTGCATACCTTGAAACTTGTTGAAATTTGCAGACCTGATGATACACAGTATGAGGCCACAAGGGGGTAGCAGTGGGCCATGAATGGCCTTGTCTGGCCCTAGGTGCAGGGAGGTCTGGGGGAGGGGGAACATGGGGTTTCCACCCCAGGAGGATGGGCCTGCCAATCACCCAGGATCAGGACACTGCCTAGCAGACCCCATGCCCTGCCAAACAATTTGGAAGGACAAACTGGAGGCTGTCCGAGAACCCAGGCCCAGTCGGCCTGTCATCCTGTCTTGTCTGTGCATCCCTGGGCAGGTGACTAACGTGCTCAAGATCCTCAGATCCCTCATATGTCAAGTGGAAACAGGGACATGGATCACATCGGTCCTGTTCTGCACAGGACTGCTTATGGGGTCCAGTGAGTCGCCTGGATGGAGGGAGGAGCATATTACAAACTGTCGAGTAGGTTCAATTTGGGAGGTTTCTAGGCCTTGGGTCTCTCTTTCTAACTCCAAACCCTGTCCTTGTCCTCACCCTGAACAATCCTCTGGTTTGTTCCTCTGGTTTCGGGGGTGCCTCTGACCCAGGGAGCGTCCCCTTCCTTGTCCCTCCCTACCCAGAGGGGCCCAGGGGCAGTCGGCAAGGACAGGCACACCCAGACACACACTGGGGTTTATTACACACAGCGATATCCATCTATACAGAGAAGGGAGGCGAGCCTCTGGGTGGGAGGTGGCCAGCTGAGGGACCCTTGTCTGAGGTGGGGAGGCCTCTCCTCAGGGCACCGGGCCCTCTTCGTCTGCATGGCTCATCCGAAAGACCAGTTCTGGCAGGCTGCCCAGAGTCCTCTCAGGTGGAGAGTTGGGGCCAGTGAGACCCAAACTCTTGAGCCGCAGCCCGGTCTCCTTGGGCTGACAGAGTCCCATCATGACTCCCTTCTGGGTGCTGCGAGAGACACGGGAAGCAGCAGCCCCTCCCATCTGGGACCCGCCGTTCTCCGCACTCGCGGATCACGGGGATCAAGAGGCTTCTCCGTAGCTGGGTCCACAGGTCGTGATGGGAGAGCTTGGCCTCTCCTCCGGGCTGGAGGCCACGTGTTCTCACAGCAGGCTGGGTTCCCGAGGCCTATTGAACTCGCTTGGGAGCGTGACCCACTGGGGGCGCTCCCCATAGCTCCCAGCATCCAGCTGGGCAGGAATCTCGTCCTGGCCTGGGGAACCTGGGCCCCAGAGGGCCCCGAGGGGTGGGCAGCTGGCTGGGGCTGAGGCCAGAGGCCAGAGAGGCGGGGACAGCTGCATTTACTGTCCAAGCCCTGGGCCTTTCTGGATGCAGCGGGCCCCAGGGCTCCGGAGCTTCTGGGGGTGTTGGGGGGTTGCAGTCTCTCTGCTAATCAGGTGGCTGAGGGCCCAACCCAGCATTCTTGCAGCCTCTCTTGAGCCAGGCGCTTTCACCTTCGTCTCCTTCCTGGGGAAGCCAAGTCCCATGGCTGCCCCCCGAGTATGCGATTCCCCTGGACTGGCCTGTCTGCTTTCCTGCCAGCTTCAAAGGCTGATCGTTCTGGGGCTGGGCCAGGCGCCCTCTTGAATGTTATGAGGGCCACATGTCGTGCCTCCCGTGAGAAAAAGATCAATATATTACTGTTTTTTGTTTTTTTGTGTTTTTTTTTTTACAAAAATTAAAAACGTCCACACGCATCTGTACAGGTTGTGAGCTGGGTGCGGGGGTCACTGGAAGAGAAAGGAGAGACCCAAAGGTGAGGAGGGAGGCCCCGCCCTGGTCGGGGCATTCTGTCCTGCACATTTCTTCTAGAACAGGCATGCCCCCAGTCCTCTCATCCCTGGGCAGGGCTTCCACCCCCTCTCAGTAGGGCAGTAAGGACAAAGTCCCAGGGTGTCTGGATGGCTTTGCCCTCGCTGGGCCAGGCACTGAGTGAGCCCTTAATGACCACCAGGGGGCGCTGTGCACAATCACCCACGACCACGGCCCCAAACCTTGGGCCATCTGATGGGGCAGTCAAACCTAGGGTTGCGTCATCACGGGCAAACCCAGCTACTTAGGCACTATGTGGTGAGCTGCAGATAGCAGCCCCTGGGGGTCCCCCTCAATGTCCCCTTTCTCCCAGCCTGTCCTAGAGACTCTTCCCTGCGAGGTACCTTATGCCAGCAGCCAGGCACGGGCAATCCATCGGGGCCCTGGAAAACAAAAGGGTTTCAGTGATGGGGCTGGGGGACTGGTCATCTCCTACACTCCATACACTCTTGCCCTGGGTGTCGGGAAGAACAGCCCCGGGAGCTGCCACATGAGGCCCCTGGGCCCCACCGAGGTACGGCTCGAATGTTTGTCCCCTGAAGAGCTGGGTCACAAGCCAGGCGGGCCTCTCGCTGTCCTTGCTAAGGACAAAGCCTCTATGGGGCTTTGCTTGTTGGGACACTGGAGCAGGGGACAAAACCGTGCCACCAGGGAGGATCGGGGATTGTGCTACAATCTGCTGGCTGGGAGATCGCCACTCTTGACACTAGCTCTGGCCGCTCACATTGGGGGCCTGAGGGCTCTCAGGGAGTTTCTTCAGGACCATCTGAAGGGCAGTCCAGGAAGTAGGATGCCCCCGAGGCCTGTCCTGGTCCCTGGGCCTGGGTATGAGAGGCAGATGGGGCACGCTAAGGCTCGCAGGATAGAAAGCGAGGTGGGGGGCAGAGGTCATCTGGGGCACCATTAGAGCCAACGCTGGCTTGCTGGTTCGGGGCACTCAGACTCCAGGTAGGGTGGGGTGGGGTGGGTTGCCTCAGGCAGCCCGGAGGGCTGGGGGAGCTGGAGAGGGACAGTGGCAGACACCTCCACCAGCCTAGAGTCCTGGGGGGTAACCCTGGCGTGGGAAACACTTCACTCTGGAGCACAGGAGCAGGAGCCCCCAGAACTGCCATGCATCCACCAGGGGCACAGGCCAGGGCCCAGAGGGAAGTGGGGAGGAGGGGCCGGAAGGAAGGGAAGGCAGGATGGGGGGCGGTCAGAGCAGTGAGCACCCCAGCCCAGCCCAGCACACAGCACACAGCACACAGCAGGCCAGATCTCATACCGCGGGGCAGGGCCCCCTGGAGCCCGGCGCCCCTTGCTTGCCTCCACATTTGGGATTCTCCTGTTTCAAAGACAAAGGCTAAATGACCCAGGGCCTGGAGCTGCAAGGCTAGGCCCACTGCGTCCTGCTGGTGTCCCCATACTTTGTGTGTATGCCTACCATGCTGCTCTTCTTGTCTTTTCCTCATTGACTCATCAAGCCCCTGGGGTACAAATTAGCACCCCTACTGCCTGGATGGGGGACTGAAGAATGAGGACCGCCTCTGGGATCCCTCACTCCGAACCTCCTTTGGAAGGCGGCCGACACGCATTGGGGCTGGGGTGGCCGGGCGTGGCTATCTGCTCAGTCTGAGTCTGAAAACGCCCTGCTGTCTTTCCTGTCTTTGCTGAGCTCCCCGGGAACCCTCCCAGCCCTCCGGCGAAGGGAACTGAACTGTGGTTCCTTCAGGCCTGTGGTCTGGGGAGCCATGAGGAGCTGATGTACGAGAGAAGGAAAGGAGGAAGGTGTTGGGGGGGGTGGCAGGGAAGGATTCTGGGGCACACAGGGAAGGATTCTGTGGGCCACCCACACCAGTAAAAGCCTCCTCCTTGGGACCCACACCCAGAGAGCGAAGGGTGTCCTAACCCCCTTTTAGGGCCAAGGAAGCTGAGAAAAGAGGAGTGGTGACGCCAGCAAGGACTCTGCCCTGGGGCCCAGCCTCCATCTCTGGGGAGTGGTGTGGGTCCCCTGAGCCATGCTCATGGAGGGGAGTCAGGACCAGAGCAAGGGGAGCCTCCCTGATGGCAGGGACAAGACATGGTGGTCTCTTGGACTTGCAAGGGAGCTCTGAGGAGAGAAGCCACCAGCCCGAGCCCGGCCTGAGGTGGCGAAGACCTGGGTTGGGGCTCCCACTCTGCTCCAACACGTACCACAGGACACGGCTGGTCCAGGCCTGGTGGTCCCGGCTCACCCTTCTGGCCCTTCACGCCTTTCCGGCCTGGGACACCTCGCTCCCCCTGCACAAGGAGGGAGACGGGGATGTGGCCGTGGCTGCCAGGCCCAGGACCCCTTTTCCACCCCTCAGAGGGATGGGCCTCCAACTGGCAGCCACCCCATCCTTCTGCCCCCCCCATCCCAGCCTCCCTCTGCTCTGGCTCCTCTCCTGCTGGCCCCCCTTCTCTCCACCGGCTCCCTACCTTCTCTCCACGTTCGCTCCGGTCACCTTTCTCTCCTCGGGGTCCAGGGAACCCCTGGCAAAAGGAATAACATGAGGTCTGAGGTTCGCTCTTGCTCTATGTTCCTATCAGTGCCCCTTCCATCCGTCACTGCCCCGCCCCCATGCCTGGTCGGGGTACAAACTGGGCCCACTCCAGCTCCTAGGTGACACGTAGGCTGGGTGCAAGGCTGATTTAGAGATGAGCATGCATTCAGGACACCAGCGCTGTTTCCTCCAGAGGAAACACTATTGGGCTCTCTGGAGACCCCCTCAGGCAGAGCCGCTCGCTGGCCAGGGGTTTTCTCTGATGTCCCTGTCCTATGTAGCTGGCGCGGGTCCAAGCATGGCTAGGGATGGAGACCCGGGGAACTCGTGGGCGTTTGTGTCACTATCTTTGCCAGACTAAGAAATGGTAAGCTCTGTTCTCTGACTTTGGCTAAATCTCTTAAGCCCCTCCTGCCCATCCATCTATCCGTCCATTCGTCCATCCACCCCTGCCACCAACATTTCTAAGCATCCTCTAGGAAGTGGGTTGTTGCTGGATATGGAGGACAGGACAAACAGATCTGATGTGTCTACCCTCTCCCCCTTTTTATTTTCTGGATCTCAGACTGTTTTTGAGATCTTGAACTTGCTGGCTAGGGACAGGCTGCCCCTCCCTCATGCCTGCTCTTGCAGGTAGCAAAGGGGTGGTCTGGGAGGACGTTTCATACGTAAACCAACAATCCCCCACCACCCCCTTGATCTGCCTCTCACGCACAAGCCGATACTTCCCCTGCCAGGAATCATCTCCAGGCCAGGTGACAGAAGCCGGGGCCTCCCCTCCAGCCCAGATCCTGCCCATCCTCAACTGTTTCCTGGGTCCGGCCTGCCTTTCCTGAGGAGACCCCCCTAAAACTCTGTCCTCCAACCCCTTTCTCACCCCCCACCCCCGACCAAACCTGGTGCTTCCCCACGGGGCCCTGCATTGCGAGGTGAGCCCTTCCCTTAGGACACCTAAGTAACCCGTTCTTCCCTCAATGGCACTGACCTCTCTGGGTCATCACTCGGTCACCTCCATAAATTAAAAACCCGTGGGAACAAATGGGACACTTCCCTGATGGTCTAACAGGACAGACAAGAGGGCAGAGAGGATGGTGGCCAATGCTCAGGGACACAGGAAGAAGCAGAGACCAGGGGGTCCCCCAGAGAGGGGCTGTTCTAGCCAGTTGTGAGGCTGGGGAGCCTGAGCAGAATCCCCACGGCAGCTCGGCCCGGTGGAGCGGGTGCGGGGCCAGTGGCTTGCCGGGTAGAGCAGGTGGGCCTGGCCTTGATATGCCACTCTGAGCTGTGAAGGCAGCCGCAGCCACCCTCCACCACCTCCCTCGGTCCAGAGCCTGAACAGGATCCGGCATTGGCTTCTTCTCCAGACCCATCTCAGGGATGGACCACCATCCTCCCGATCAGAAACTCTGTGTGTCTACAGTTGCTCTCCAAGGGGTCACTCTCTCCTTCAAGTCCAGGGAGGACACCAGAATCCCTGCAGCCCTGATTCTGGTCACCATTCCCTTGTAATAGCTGCCGGATTTTCCTGGGGACCACCCTCCCTTCTTAAAACCTGCTGACTCCACCCCCAGCTCCGGAGGGAGCACGTGATCCGGCCTGGCCAATCAGGGCACTGCATTTCTTTTGGCCAAGTTGATCTTTCAGCACTGACCCAACTGGGGCCGGTGAGAACTGATGAGACTTTTCTAAAAGAGAGACTGAAGCACATAGTCTTTCTCCAGGGTTTGGGTCTGGGAGGATGTGAGTCTGGGGCCACTGCCTCCATCCCATCACCACATCTAATTTGAAACAACACCCCCAAAGCAGAAGCACGGACAAGGAAGCAGGAGAGGCTGGGTTGTGTGGATTGTGTGTTGTCCCTCTGGGTTTTTAAATTAGGAGTTAGTTTGAGCCAGTTTTCTGTTTTCTATTGCTGGCAACCCAAAGACACTTGATCCGATCAACTTTGGGCTAATACTTCCTCTCCTCTCCTTCCCACAGTAATGTGCTAGCTGAAGCTTCATCTTCTCTCACCAGGATATTGCAATCCTGCTCTCCTCACCTTCCTGTCCCAGTGCAGCATCTTTCCATTCAGTTATCCATCACCCTTTCACCCATCATCCATCCACCTATCCACCATCCATCTGTCCTTCATCCATCATCCATCCACCCATCCATCATCCAACCATCCGCCCATCATCCATCCATCCATCATCCATCCATCCATCATCATCCACCTACCCATCTTCCATCATCCATCCACACATCTTCCATCTGCCCACCATCCATCCACCATCCATCTATCCACGCATCCACCAACCATTCACCCATCTCCCATATACCCATCATCTATCCACATCATCCATTCACCCACCATCCACCCACCCATCTCCCATCCATCCATCATCCACCATCCACCATCCATCATCTACCCACCCATCTTCCATCTAACCCATCCTCCATCCACCCATCTTCCATCCATCATCCATCCACCCATCTTCCACCCATCATCTACCCACCCATCATCTATCCATCCACCATCCATCCATCATCCATCTACCCATCTTCCATCCATCCATTATGCATCCATCCATAATCCATCCATCCAGCCATGACCCACCCACCCATCATCCACCCACCATCCATCTACCCATCCTCCATCTGCCCATCATCTATCCACCATCCATCCATACATCCATCCATCCACCCATCTTTCACCCACCCATTATCCATCAAATCATCCATCCATCCATCCACCCATCAAGTACCTACTCTGGGCTGTGAACTGGACTTGGCACTGGGGACACAGGGGGAACCAGTCGGTTTGTAGTCCCAGCCCTGGGGAAGGGGGTCACATCCGAGCCCAGCAGATCAGGTTATTGTATGGCCAGTGCAAGTGCAGAAGCTATATACAGGAGCCTGATCACAGTGAACAATGAGATACTTACATCTAGTCCTGGCTCCCCGGGCCTTCCCTGAAGAGAGACAAAGAGGACATGTCAGGGGCCAGGGAGGGATTGCTGGGAGCACTACTGCCGGGATGCTCAGCCTTGTGAGTTGTCCACAAGCCTGATTTATGGCCCTGGGATGGTGTGGTGCAGGGGGTTGAGTCCCCAGAGCTGAGTGACACTGTAAATGTGCAGCCATACTTGGAGGGCATCAAAGGAAGGTCATTACCTTCTCTCCTTTGGTTCCCGGCAGCCCAATAAGACCTGGCGGGCCGGCTGGCCCCTGGGTAGAAAAGAAACAGGTCAAGAGGCATGACAGTTATAGGAATTAGTGCCCCAGAGAGATAAAAAAGGCTCATGATGACACTCACAGGCAGGCCGCTGGGGCCTCTGTCACCTGACACACCCTTCTCTCCCTTTGCTCCGTCCAAGCCCTGGAAGCAAAGAGGAGACATCAGTCACGGGGAAGGGCTCAGAGGGTAGGACAGGAAAGCCTCAGGCCTGAGTGCAAGCTGGGAACTGCAGGGCAGAGAAACAGACACCCCAGTTTCTTTTTAGTGCAAACAGTAACCAAAGCCCACATATGGGCTTCCTTGCACCCATTTCACAGATGAGTAAAGAGATGCAGAGCAAGGGGCAGGGACAGGTCCAGCCGCACAGCTGAGCGGCAGCAGGGCTGAGGACCAGTCAGGTTTCTGAGCTGGCCTCCCCCACGCGGGGCACACGGGCAGGCCACACTCAACGGTTTTAATTTAAGAGCAGAGGACATGACATTAGGTAATACACACCAAACCCAAGACTTCATGTCCAGGCTGTGGGCAGTTGAGAGACAGATGTGTGAGTGGGGGGCACGGGGGAAGTGGGTAGGGGGGGTGAGGTGGGGTGGCCCAAGGAGGCGGAGGCAGCAGACAAGTGCGCAGGCAGAGGGACAAGGTGAAAGACGAGTCCCAGTGTGGGGCTGGGTGGGCACATGGTCCCAGGACATCAGTGAGGTTGGGCTCCAAGGGATCCAGAACCTTCAGGCCCTGGGATAATACAGAGCTGGTTTGGGGCCAAGCGTGGGGCCCTCCCTGCCCATTAGCAAGGCTTTCTGGAACTATCCAGGCTGGGCATCTGCAGTGAGTAGAGGGATTTCCAGAACTCACCTTGGGACCCTGGATTCCCTGAAGGCCCTAGAGGAGGAGGAGAGTGGTCACAGAAGCTTAGAGGCCACTCACTGGCCCCATAGCCCTGACCTCTGTGGCCTCCCAAGCCCAGACCCAGGCTCTCCTGTATTGCTTGATATAACCCCCTCCCCACCAGAAGTCCTGTCTTTCCCTGGGTCACAGCTCCAAGCCTGGGCTCACCACCCCCTGCGGATGTCAGCTACTTCATATGAAATGGTCTTACCATGGGGCCTGGGGGGCCAGGGGGGCCGGGGGGCCCTGGTGCCACTATGATCTGGGCCTAGGAAACAGTCAAAGATGGGTTAGTCATCTAACCCCCTGTCATACCTCACTAGCCCATGGTTGAACACAGTGGACATTGCATGAGCACTTCTGGGGGTGGGGCAGCTGGGCCTTGAGCCACTGGGCTGAGTCTCTTTCCTGCCCCCAGAAGGCCACTGCCTGGTGGGGGGGGGCCCAGGGGCTAGCCTTCGGGGTTCTCAGACAGGCCTCAGTTGGAGGACACAGCCCGAGGTGCCCCCCTCCCACTCCCTTGCTGCCCTGGCTTTGGTCAGGCCAGGTGGCCTTTCTGTCCCAAGGCTCAGAGCCCCAGCTGTCCTGGGCCGGGAATTAAGGGGAGACCTTGGTCCTCAGCAGCCCCCCTTACCAGGCTCTCTCGTAGACTGTCAGATGCTGACTCTCCCTTCTCCCCCTTGGGCCCGTCGGTGCCCTGCAGGACAGGATGGCCTTCAGCCCTTTCTGCCCATCACCAGACCCACCGCCCGCCGTAGGTGCACTTCCCCTGCCTTCCTCATGAGGCCCCCAGCGGGAGCGATGAGTTGGCATTTACAGCTCAAAACAGTTTCCCCTAAATCCGTGACAGACACGCTCTGGGCACCCAGCAAGGGGGTTTCTGGAGAGCATAAACTCTCTCCTGTGGGGCAGGGGGCACCCAGGGGCTCTGGAACCAAAGACCTCTCTAGCTGAGGGAGCCCTATGGATGGACACTAGATGGGAAAAGGGGCATCTATCCCCTAGCTAGCTAGCTACTTGAACCCGCAGCTCTTCCCGTCCAGCCACCATGACCGTGACAGTGCGTACTGAATCACATGGCCAGCCACCACTCTTGGCCCCGTCGTGCAGGCCCTCCTGAGTGGGAGATTATTATCCCCATTTTAGAGGCGGGGAAACCGAGGCCCAGGGAGGTCAGGACACTTGTGCAGTGTTGCGGAGCCAGCAGGGGACAGAGGAGAACGCAAACTTGAGCAGTCAGCGGGGGCTCTAACCACCTGCCGGCTCTGTTCCACCTTGGTGGGGGGCGGGGGGGGGGGCCTTGGGAAGTCCTCGCACAGAAGAGGAAGAGAATGTGGAGGCTCAGAGAGTCCAAGCTGCCTTTCAAAGGCTCAAAGGCTTGCAGCCCCTGGGCTGGGCGGAATTGGTAGGGCCCTAGCGGTGCCCCCCTCCCCCATGGCTGCTGTTGGGGGAACACATTGGCCTTGGAACCCCATGGGGGCAGAGGAGGGTGGACCCCGTGCCCCACCTACCGGGAGGCCTGACAGGCCCATCTCGCCTGCCTCCCCTTTGGGTCCGGTTGGCCCAGCCTCTCCTGGGTCTCCTTTGGCTCCTTTGGGACCCTGCGAGCCACAAGAACAGGGGGTCGGTGGAACTCAGCAGGCATGCTCCCTTCCCTCACCACAGGGGGCTTCCCCAGAGCTTACTCCTGACCAAGCCAGACTCCCACCCCCACTTCTTCATCCTAGGTCCCTGGCTCTGACCCAGAAGATGAATGCACTGAGGAGCTTGGATGAAGACAGGCATGCGGGGGGGACCAGTGTGGGGACGGGTGGAGGGAGTGAGACTGGGCAGCCCCTGTAGGGGCCCTTACAGGTCTTGGGGTGGAGGGTCGACCCTGTGCTCGCATCTCAGGAGCCGGTGGTGGGAGACCCCAGACCCCACGTACAACCAACCATCCACCTACCCAATGCCCCTCCCAGCCACTCACTGCCTCTGTCAGCCAATCACAGAATCACGCATCCAAGACGTGGCACGAAAGCCACGGCCATGAACGTCCAGTGATGCCCTCGACCCCATGCTGTGCACGTGGGGACACACCAGTGTGCACTGAGAGCCACACTCGTAGGACCCAGAGCAACAGGACCGACGTTAGCTAATATTTGAACACTCTGCCCTAGATCGCGCCCTAAGTGTTTTACACACACACGATTATTTAAGGCTTACACCTTGGGACTGTCCTCCCCTCCAGGTGAGGACCTGAGGCTGCCAGAAAGCGAGCAACCTGCCCGAGGTGTAAGGGCAGAACCAGGACAAGCACCCTGGCTGCACACTCTGCCCTGTGCTAACCCTGCGCACACACACACACACACACACACACACGCCCACACGCAGCCCACCACTAGGCACCAGCATCGCCAAGCAAACAAAAGGCCCAGAGACCTTCTCTCCGTCGATTCCTGGGGCACCAGGCAATCCCAGCTCACCCTGGAAGGGAACAGAAAGCAAGGGGGGTTATGATGTCTCATGGTCTCCGAGAGGGCCTTGTGGTCCCTAAAGTGGGCAGAGCCTAGGAAGGTGTGCCCTGGTCCCCAGCCGCCTCCTCAGCTCCTCCAGGCAGATGCAGACTGGGGCTATAATTTACAGTCTAGGGGGTGAGAGCTTGGGAAACTGAGGCTCGGGGAGATTCAATGACTCGTGGCAGGACACACGGCCCAGGGCAACAGCCGGGACCAGATCTCGCCTCATTTCCAGGTCTCCTGAGCCAGCCAGGCAGCGGTGGGTAGGTGATGGGTGCGGGCCATAGGAACGGCTCTGTCTGTCATCTATGGGACCTGGGGTTTACATGTGGGAATGAGGCCTCCAGGGAGGAGTGAGGGCCAGGAGCAGGACATCCAGCTTGGTTAGGCCACTTTCTCTGAACCCCCAGGAGTCAGGCCGGGATGCCAGGAGAGAAGCGGAGTAAGCATGGCAGACAGGAGAGGGGAGGTGGGCGCTGGAGTTCGGGGGCTTGGAGGGGGCCACACAATGGGCCCATGAACTCACCTTGGCTCCGGGGATCCCTGGGGGCCCTGGAGGCCCCTGTGGCCCAGGAGGACCCTGTGTGTGAAAGTCAAACTGGTCAGTGTGTACACGAGTACCCCCACCACCACCCGCCAGGAGCTGGGGCTCTGGCTGGCCTGCAGCAGCGTCAAAGCCCCTCACTGGGGGTGCCTGGGTGGCTCAGTGGGTTAAACCTCTGCCTTTGGCCCAGGTCATGATCCCATGGTCCTGGGATCGAGCCCCACATCGGGCTCTCTGCTTGGCAGGGAGCCTATTTCCCTCTCTCTCTCTGCCTACTTGTGTTCCCTGTCAAATACATAAATAAAATCTTAAAAAAAAAAAAAAGCCCCTCACTGACTGCTTCTCACCCAGTCCCCACTCTTGTCTTGTGGGGGGGGGGAGGGAGGTGTCACCAGGGACCAGGTGGGATACCACGGAGTCCACTGCAATGGTGGGTCCAGAATCCCCTGCCTTTAGAGCCAGTATCCCCCAAACATAGATTTCATCACAACACTCCCCTGCTCACTCCTGAGGCTCCTTGGGGGCAGGCCTGGCTGCCATCATCCTCCCCCAACAGCTACTAGAAGACGTAGCCCTCCAGCCTGTGCTCCCTGGGGAAGGTGCCAGGAGGGCCTGCTGGGACTGGACATCAGGAAATGGTCTGTCTCCTGCCCCTGAGCAGGGAGCTTCCCTTTTCACTTTGGCCTCTGGGGAGCTCAGGGTAACATAAGCCATATTCACGGCAGCTCTTAGCATCTGGGGTAGAGGGTGCTCAGCACAACTCTGATTTCCTTATCAGACACACCTGGTGAAGCTGGGGTCTTTGTGCTAAGCTGTCCCCCGACCCTTGTGTAAAGAAATGCAGGACCGATACACTAAGTATGTGGTTGTCTCCCCAGGAAAAGAACCAGGATACATCCCGGTCCTGCCACTAACCTACCTTGAGGGCGTCCAGAATCCTGCCATCGTAGTCTATCACCACCGTGTCTCCTTGCTCACCCTTGAGGCCCTGGGGACCCTGAGGCAGAGGAAAAGTGAGAATTTCAGGGTGGGGCAGAGGCGGCCGCATGTGTATCTGAACCCGGGACCCTAGGAACCCCGCCCACATGACGGAGGGAAAGTCCGTGTGCCGTGTGGTGGCTCGGCTGTAACCCGATGGGACCCCCTCGAGCTCATCCTCCAGGATCTACATGGCCACGGGCACCCCAGTCCCTGAGAGACACTCCAGGGCCTGGACAGCAGGTGTCCGGGGCCTGGAGCCAACAGAAGAATAGGCTCCTGCCTTCTTTGGCTGCCAGTCCCGTGGGAACCCAAGTCCCCTGGGGTCTCAACCAGGAGTTCTCCAGGGAAAACAGAAAGTCTCATTCTGATGTGAAGTTCTTCCGATTTCTAAATGTCGGCCGTACAAAGGTGCAGAAATCAACACGTTCCCCCAAATGCCCAGACACCGTGTAGACCAACTGCCAGCTCGATCTCAGCCTTGTGCCTCAGTGCCTCAGTGTCCCAGGCTCTGGTAGAAGCTGTGCATGCTCACGTGTGCGTAGGACTGTCTGCAAACGCAGGTGTCCACACCCACCTGTCCACACCCGCACGTGCTCTAATAGGGGCCCTCCTCACCCAACCCTTCCTCGATAAACCTCCCTCTGCCCCAGGCTGCTCTCTACTGGGCCCACCGTGAGGGATGGGCAGCACTCTGCTCAGGCCTGGAGCCAGCCCCCTACAGAGGGCCCAGAGACCCTGGCCAGGGGTCCTCCCTTGCCAGCAGGCTCCGCAGTCACAGTCCCCCAGAATCCCACGCTCAGTTCTGAATCCAGCCCCTGCCACCTGTGCGACCAGACTGTGGGCTTATCAGCCTTGTTTTTTTCGGAGGAGAAAAGCAGCCTCCGGGAGTGTTCAGGCTTGTGATTGCTGGAGGCCACCGAGCAGGGAACGGGACCCCTGGTGTTGAACTAAAGGTGGGTTGACAGCGGCTGGTCGCAAAGGATCGGAGACCAGCGCAGGGGTGGCTCTGCTTCTGGAGACAGGGACAAACTGCAAGGTGGGACAAGGCACCCTGCTGGGGGAGGGTCACCCCCACTCCCTCCCCAGGTGATGCACAGAAGGTCTGTGCTTGAACATAAGACAAGACTCTGGGAGGGCGGACACTCAGCTGGGGACAGCTCGTTTTCACACATGTGTATTTGAACGTTTTACCGAAAGTAGGTATGGTGAGATTGAAAATTTGAAAATCAGTAATGAATGATTAAAAAAAGAAGACTCCCATTTCCCGGAGCTCCAGGGCTCCTCTGGGGTCTCCCGCGGGAAATGACGGGTGCATCTGAAGAGCTCCAGGCCCCTGGGTTCCCTTGGCATGGCTGGAGGGGGGACTCACTTACCCGCAGTCCTGAGACTCCGTCCACGCCTCGCTGGCCGGGCTCTCCCTGGGGAGATGCAAGGTTGCAGCCACATGTGCGTGGCTGCCCCATGCCCCTCCAGTCCCCGTCACCCAAAAGCGTGAGGCCCACGTGCTGGAGCCCCAAGGGACATCCATATGCAGTAAGTGCCCCAGAAACAGAGCTCCTGGAAGGAGGGTCCAACGGGAGCCCCCTCAGACCCCACAGTGTGTAGAGCTGGGCCACTGAGGGATGGCCTGGCTTCCCCAACTGCAGGATGACTGAGCCACATGGTCAAGCTTGGGGGAGGGGGCTTGTCCTTCACCCAAACCTGTGGCCACCCCTGGGGCCAGCCTCTGACAGCCCGCAGAACCAGACCCCAGATCCCACGTCCTCCCGCAACTCCCCACTTAAAAGGGCAAAAGGAGGCAAAGCCACATGACCCCAGGATGGGGGCACAGGTCTGAGCTGCGCACTGCGAGGCACCTTTGGCCCTGGGGCGCCGTCCACACCATTTTCTCCTGGAGGCCCCGTGTTCCCTGGCTCGCCCTGCAATAGAGATGTTCGCAGTGAGTGAGTGTGCCAGGGGCCGGCTGGGGCTGCAGGCGTTGTGATTCCTGGGGAACACACCTGAGCCCCTCTGGGACATAGTTAGGGCCCCTGGGTGGGGGGGCGCTCAGGTGATATTTTGGAGACAGGCTGGCAAGAGAGCAAGGATGATACCCTTGTCCTACCTTGGGGACAGGGTAGAGTGGGCGCCACCCCCCAAACCTGCACTGTGAAAGGGCCGCTAGGGGTCTCACCAGACCGCTGGGAGCCAAGGGAGGTGGGAGGCAGGGGGCCCTCTGGGGGAGGCACAGGTACCTACCTTAGGGCCTGGGGGTCCGGGGAGCCCTGGCTGGCTTGGAATCCCGTCATCCCCCTGAGGAGAGAGCAGCTGAGGCTGCAGCCCTCAGGCCCAGGCATACCGGTTTTGGCTGTCTCCCCCATCCCACGCTCCCTTGCCCACCAGCCCACCAGACCACCAGACCTCTGTGGGGGCCAACATTGGTCACACTGGGTGGGGACAGGGGGGCGGGGCAGGGTGGGTCCCCCAGGGCCAGCCCAGAGCACGCATGAGGGGGATTGGCGCACGGAAGGGAGGGGCGGGCAGGTGGAGGAGAGGGGATTGGCTCCTTCAGTCAATACGTGTAAGCACGTCTGTAGGCCAGGCAGATAGGGTCCCTGCTCAGTGGGGGAAGAGAGGGGCCTGAGGTCAAGGAACTATCCAGATAAACCCACAGCACCAGGCCAGGAGGTGGAAGCAGTGCTGGGAAAAGAGTTTAAGGGGGTGGTGGGATGGAGGGATCAGAGCGACCTAGGGGAGCTTTTTGGAGACCTGGCAAGGGAAGGGGTAGAAGGAGATCACCCCAGGCCAGTGGTTCCCAAACTTGAGTGCATGCCAGTATCACCCCGGGAGAGGTGCTGGACAGACCACAGCTACAAATTCTGGTCACCAACGGGACGCCTGAGTGGCTCAGTTGGTTTAGTGTCTACCTTCGGTTCAGGTCATGATCTCAGGGTCCTGGGATTGAGTCCCACATCGGGCTCCCTGCCCAGCGGGAAGTTTGCTTCTCCCTTCTCCCTCTGCCCCTCCCCACTGCTAGTGCTCTCTTTCTGTGTCTCAAATAAATAAATCAAATCTTTAAAAGAAATAAATAAAAGTTCTGGTCACCAATTCTGATGGGTGCGGGGTGTGTCCACACCCCCACCCAGGGGATTCCCCACTACAATTTAACCCCACTCTGATACTTGTCAACCTGGAGAGAGCGTTGGATCCCACAGGTTAAGGACCCAGTCCTATAAGCCAGCACCCCCCCACCCCTGCACCCGCCACTTTAGGCACCAGGAAGAAGCTGTGTTATAGATTGGTCATAGACCCACAGTTACAATGACCTCCTCCCTGAGTTCCATTAACTTGCTAGAGCGGCTCCCAGAACTCAGGGAAACACTCTACTTACTAGATTCCCAGTTTATCATAAAGGATAGAAGTCGGGAACAGCGAGATGCAGCGGGCAAGGCATGGGGAAGGGGTGCAGAAGGTCCCTGAGCTCTCCAGGACTGCCGCTCTCCCCAATTCTCCCCATGTTCACCAGCCCGGAAGCTCTCAGAACCCCCATCCTTTGGGGTTTTTACGAAGGCATCATCACAGAGGTGGGAGTGATGAAATCACCTGCCACGGGTCAGATTGGTTCAACCTGCAGCCCCTCTCCCTCCCTGGAAGGCTGGTGACCGGGACTGAAAGCTCCAACCCTCCCATCATGTGACTGGTTCTCCAGCAACCAGCTCCCATCCTGGTGGGGCGGTTGTCCCTAAAGTCGCCCCATTAACGTAACAATAGACACCTTCAAATTTGGTTCATCACCCAGGACATTCCAAGGGTTTTAGGAGCTCTGCTCCAGAAACCAGAGGACTAAGACCAAATATGGATTTATTATAAATCACAACATCCCAGTGGCCTGCCCCTGGTGTCTCTGACTAGGTGGATCCAAGATCGGCCCCCAAATGCCCCTAAGACCCCAGCGATGCTGATACTGCTGGTCCCAGGACCACACTTTGAGAACCACTGTCCAGGTCCCTGAAGTGGGAACGAATTTGCTGTGTTTGCAGAAAGGAAAGAATCGGTGAATAAGCGAGTAAATGAAGGAAATTGGACTTGGGTCTGGTGAGGACATCCCTGTGGCCACCACCCGCCTGCTGCCCTGGGGAGCCCCTGCCCATCTCCCTAACCACTTCCCACACCCCCACCAGGAAGCCCTTCCTGGGGGCCCCCCTCACCTTCTTTCCAGGAATGCCAGGCTCACCCTAAGATGGAAGGCAGAGGGGTACAAGAGAGAGGTCAGAGCCCTGAGAACATGGCCCAGACACCAGGCCACCTGCTCCTCTGGTGGAACTGGCCTTGATGACCGGGGATGGCCCAGAGATCCTGGACCCTCAGACAGGTGCACAGGGATGGTGGGGCTGACAGTCCCGGACTCCGCTCCTGACCAGGGTCCCCTCCCCCATGCTGAATGACCCCGGACAAGTCAGTGCTCTTACAAGTGGGCATGTGATGCCACAGCCTCTGGGGGGTGTTTCTGAGATGAGGGAGAAAACAAGGAAAGCCCTTCTTCTTCAGGCGGGACCCAGTCCATCCCCCGCCCCCACAGCAGGCAAAGAAGAAAAGGAACAGCTGACCTGTGGGGGTGGGGGAGGGGATGGGAGCCCATCCCTCCCAGGCCTGGGGAGGGGACAGGGGAGCACTCACCTTGGGCCCTGGGAGTCCCTTCAGGCCCTGGAATAAGAGAGGAGAAAGTATTAAATGGGATACCGGTGGCTGCTTTTGGGCATCATTGTGTAAAGGGCGACGCCAAGTGCCAGATGGCAGGAGGCTGGGCCATGCTGCCCCTTCTAGGCCTGCTGGCCTAGGGCTGCTTCCGTGTCAGATCTCAAGCAGGGCAGTGGCCTGGGGTGGGGGGCGCCCTCTAAGGGATGCAGAGCTGGGGGCCTGGCCCATCGGTTCCCCACTGCTGGCCGTGAGTGGGATGGGGGCTTCTGGCCCCCTGAATGAATGGGGCCCCAGGCTGCCCCAATGCCCTGGATACTGACCATCTCGCCGTCACGTCCAGCCTCTCCTTTGGGACCCTGAGGAGGCAGAAGAGGAGACCCTCTTGATGAAGGGACACAGGGACTCCACGGTTAACGGAGCCCACTCCCTGCGCTGTGCCCTGGGCTGGGGCTCCAAGCTGTCTCTTGTTTCATGAGCGGGTGTCCTTGTTCCCACTTTGCAGATGAGAACGTTGAGGCTCAGGGAGCTAGGTGCCCAACAGGAATAGGAATGGATAAGCCAACTGAGTAGCTAGCTGCCCCAAGAGGGGACCCTGGTGGCAATTTGGTGGCAGTTTGGTGGAGGGGCTGGCTCTGCGTGGAAGGGGAAGGACAGGCCTAAGTCCCTGCTGGCCTCCAGAGTCTGGGTAGAGCTATAGGAGGACAACTGAGCCTAACTAGTTAGTACTGGAGGGAGGGAAGGAATTGGGGGGAGAGCGAGCTAGAGTGGGTGGGGGGAATAAAATCTGGGGAGGAAACACCTCCATATGGGTCTCAGGGTCAGGGTTAGGATCGAGACTGAAATTGCAACTAAGGTCAGGTTAGGGTCTCTGGTTGTATTTGGGGTTAGGGTGCAGGGTAAGAGTTGGGTTTGGAGTCAGGTCAGAGTGTAGGGGCCAGAGGTAGGGTCTGGATAATAGCCAGAAATGAGGGTGTGGACCAGGATTTGGGAATGGGTTTGGGGTCAAGGTCTTAAACGGCATCCGGTCTAAGGCTGGAGTGGGGCAGGTGTCTGAGTTGGGGTTGGGGTTAGGCAATGTGGGTTTGGGTCTGAACTGGGGACAGGGGTATTCTACCTCCATGCCCTCTCTTACCGCTGGGCCTTGTGCTCCCCTGGGGCCATCTTTCCCGGTGTCGCCAGGAGGGCCCCGGGCTCCAGGGGGTCCAGGGGGCCCCGGAGGCCCAGCAGCTCCATCTCGCCCTTGGTCTCCCTGGAAGAGATGGGGCCTGGCTTACTGTGAGGGGGAGGGGAGGGGCTCCAGTCTCCAGAGAGTAGCCTCTGCAGACAACTGGCCAGATGCCTTCCCTCCCCTAGCCCTTGCGGGTTTGGGGGTGAGGGGTGGCTCAGAGGAAAGTGTTTGGTTCCTGGGCTTCTCGTGGCTTCTCAGCAGCCACAGGGACAGACAGGTCCCTGTACTTTGGCATAAAAGCTAAGGGATGTGCCATTCTCCCAGCCCTTAGTGCCTGGAGCTCAGCTCTGGTGTTCCGTTGAGATGAGACACGCTGGGTACAGGAGCAGAGCATGTGGGCTCCACCAGCCCCATCCCCCAGAAAGGGGTCTGCACGCGTCCTGAAGGGCCTTCCTCGTAGGCCAGCCTCCTTTATCCCATGTTGGAGGTGCGCTTCTGGGGCCTTACCCGGAGCGATGAAAACTCCCGCGGATGCTCACAGCTGCTCTAGGGGTAACAGCCCCAAACTAGAATCAACCCAAATGTCCTTCCATGGGTGAACGGCTAAGGGACGGTTAAGCGACAGCTGTGTCACAGAGCACAGCTCCGCCAAAATGACAAGGAACAAGGCATAGCCAAGTTGGAACAGCTCTGATGGATCTCGGGGGACGACGCTGAGTGAGAAAAGCCAATCTCAGTGGCTCAGACTCTACGGCTGCAAATACACCCCAGGGTGGACATGGAAAGATCATGAAGATGGAGGACGGACTGGTGGCTGCCGGGGGTGGGGGCAGGGATGGGGCAGGGCAGGAGGGGACTGAAGAAGCACAGGGGATCTTCCTGTGGTGGTTATCCGAGTCTACTGAGTGTGATGACGTCGCCCAGACTTTTCAACGCACCCTGATGGGCAAGATGGCTGAGCTCCCCATGAGGCAGGTGGATTCTGTCAATTATCTGGTTGTGCGACTACATTGCACGGGGAGGCAAGATGTCACCATCGGGGAGCGTGGAGGACAGGTGCATGGGGACCACCTCTGACAACTAATTGTGAACCGACAGTCATCTTGCGATACAAAGTTAAAAAAAAAAAAAAAAGGAGAGCAACAAAGGGCCACAAAGTCTCAGTCATGCAGCATCCCGCCCCCAACTCAAGGACCTGATGTTAGTACGGGGTCAGACCTCAGGCAGCCAGAGCCCTCACCTCGTGGCCCCCAGCTGCAAGGAAAGGGGGGCCACGGTGCCACCGGCATTTCCTGCTGCCCCTGTGGCACGGGGCAAGGTCATGCACACCCGGCTCACAGTGACAGCAGTCCCCAAACTTCCCGTAGCTGAGAAACGCAGAAGCCTCTTGCGGAGGTAACCCTCCTCCGACCCCGTGCACCCTGCACTGATCTCCCTGGAAGCTGGCTCCCCCCAACCCTTGCGACCACCCAGCCATGGCACTGTATCGACCCATTTTACAGGTAGAGCAATCAGGAACAGAGAGGGTAATCATTTCCCCAGGGTTGCACAGCTAGGAATGGCAGCAGCTCCTCAGGGCCACTGAGGAAAGCGATGCCTTTTGGACGCATTCAGAATCCCTGGCTCCCGTAATGTGAAGGTTCCCCTCTCTTGCCAACTGGACCCCAGACACAGTTCATCGGTTTTCCCCAATTAAAAAATAGACCGAGGCTCTCAGTGTCCACCAATCAGGGTCCCGACCCGGAGGCCAGGACTCCAGTCTGACATACAGCAAGCTGACAGTCGGGTTAGCTTGCCCAGGTGCAGGTGGGGACGGCAGTGGGTGATTCCTGCTCCATTTGCTGCTGTGTCAGGAAGAACTGGAAGACACCCTAGTCCCCGCTCCCTCCACAGCCCAGGGGCCCCACAATGGGTACCACTGGCCTGGACTCTACTTATTGGGGAGGTAAATGGGTTTCGACACGTGAGCAGGTCCCAGCAGATGTTGGTAGGCTCTGACCTTGAGTTACTCGGGACACGAGGCTGGCCAGCTGCCTTGCCTGCGTGCTGGGATCGGGCTGGCTGAGGTCTAACCATGGAAACGCAGGGGTGAGTCAAGGGAGCACGCAAACCAGCAGGCCCGGACACGCCACTGGGCCAGGCTACCTTGAAGACGCGGCGACTGTACCCGTGATGGTCTCTACTTATAAAGCCTGGATTGAGCCGTGGAAAAACCATCTAGCCAGCAAACAGGTTGTGTGGTCAGGAAGGCAGAAAGGGTGACTTAGGAAGGGACAAAGCTGTTTCGGGGGGGCAAAGCCTCTCAACCCAGCCCAGCGACGGGGAAAGGAGGACTATGTTCTCCAAAGATGGCCGATATGCTCGTTCCCATCCCACAGGACCCTTGCAGTGCCCCCCCTCCATTGCCCCACCAAGAGAGAAGGTCTGCTCCTCTTTCTCCATGTTGACTCTGGGCGGGCCCCGTGGCTGATGGGACAAACAGGATGCCATGGAAGTGAGGCGTGCCAGGCTCTTAACTGGCCTCCTGGAATGCTAGTCTTGGGACGCCCCTCTGGGAAGCCCACTGCCACGCTGGGAGAGGACTTGAAGCACATACCTCCCCACTGGGCTCCCAGCCAACAGCTGCATCCATCAAGGCCATGGGAGGGTGCCACTATCTTGGACTGGCTTTGATGAGAGAGATCTGCTCCCCCCAACCCCCACCCACAACCGGGGCCGTTGTTGTTTTAAGCCATGGAACTTTCAAGGGTGGAGGCTGATTTGGAGGTGGCTGGAAACTTGGGACAATGAGAGGATACCCATGAAGGGTGGAGGGAGGGCTTTGGGAAAGATCTCTCATGACTCCCGTGCTAGGGGAGCTTATCAATTGAGGAGTGGGCACGCCCTTTCCAGAAGATCAGTGTTTGTACACCCACCAGAAAGCAAGCAAAAGGCTTTTTCTCAGTGGTCACCAAATTCAACGTGGGTACCCTGGATTTGACTTCAGCTTTTGGGGACCCCATGGTTGCCCTCCAACCAAAGGCCCAGCACAGAAGAGCTCTGTCCTGGGGCCTCAGCCTGGCCAGCCCAGGGCTCTCGGCTCCTGCTCACGACCACCTGTTATATGGGCCCTTCTGGTCTGGTGGCATAAACTGGGCTTGGGCCTGTGGGGCCGCAGAGCTGGGACTGGGACCGGGACCAGGACCGGGACCAGGCCCACACTTAGCCCTCTAGCTGTCTCCCCTTCCCGTCCCCCATCCACAGTGCCTGCCCCTCACTCCTGCTCCATCCCTGCCTTCAGTGCTTACAGATGCTGGCTGTGGGGGTACTTGCTCACTGGCTACAATTTCCACCCCATAACCTTTTTAGGGAGCAGCCCCCTCTAGTACAGATGGGCCTCCACTCCAGTTGTGGCAGGAATGGAGGGGGCATGCTCTTAGGGCCCCTGATGTGACCCTCTGCCCAGATCTGCTTTGTGGGGCCCATCCGACCTGGGCTCCCCACTCTGCTTCATTGAAGAGACCCCAGGTTTGGCACAAGGTACTTCTGGATCCCTTGGGCCCTGGGGACACCGAAGGCCAGGGGATCTACTGTCCCTGGGCTGGGTGCTGGGTGCCCACCTTTAAGACTGCCATGAACCTTTGCTATAGCAGCTTGGATAAGGGGCTGTCAATCCCGCCCACCACAGCTGGAGAAACTGAGTCACAGAGGGGAAAGGGAGTCACTCAAGGTTACTTGGCTGGTAAGTGGCAGAGCTCAGCTGCTGACCCATAACCTTCCCTCTTCCTGAGGTGCCAGCCATCCTCACGAAGGTCAGTCTCGGGTCTGGGGGCAGCGCTAGCCCCACTGTCCCTACCCTGCCCCCCATCCACGGTAACAAATATGACTGTGAGGAAGCCCTGGATTTTCCAGCCCATGGCCATTTAAATGAAACCCCACAGAAGGACAGATGGTGGGCAGTGGGCAGAGACTGTGGGCCCATGCGGTAAGGGGCAGGGACCCAAAAGAGACGCTAGATACACCTTATTATATGGTAACGTGAACTGTGTGGGGTGGGTGAGGGGGTCTTGCGTCAGCTCTTACCCGAGGGCCAAGGTCTCCTGGTGCGCCCTAAGGACAAAGAGCAGGAAGACGGGTCACTGCTACTATTTTTACCTTATCACACGTATATAAGCATTTACTCTGTGCTCCCTGCTTTAGCCACTTAGTCTCACCCAAGTCTAACGAACATATCACGAGAGTTCTATTTCTAATCTCCATTTTCAATGAGGAAACCGAAACACAGAGAGGCAAAGTAGCCAGCCTGAAGTCTCACAGCCAGCGCACACACAGGGCTTGGAACCAGGCGCTGTGTTGCCTGTGGCCAGCCCCTAGTCATGGCAGAGCAGAGATGAGCTGCTCCCCATGCCCCGCGTCCTCTTGGAATCCTGGAACCTCGCACAGCAAAGAATGGTAATTACTTGACCGTCTAAAGTCACCAAGCTCTGGGGCTGGATGTCACGAAGGGACGGGTGCCAAGATGCCAGTCTCTCTCTGGGTTCAAAGCCTCTGCTTTGTTCAACCGGAGACAGCAGGAAGGAAATCACTTCTCCGTTAGGTTGCTTTAACTGACAGATAGGGAAACTGAGGCCCACGGAGCCGGCCAACCGATCGAAAGCCATGAGGTTGGTGGGGGAGCCCTAAGGCAACCCTGAGGCTCTGAGCCTGGGATCCTGTGCCCGGCACAGCTCTGAGGGTGGCCGGGGACGGTGGCTGGCCTTACTTACCTCGGAGGGCACATCACAGTGGGCGGCTGGAGTGGACGTGGCCCAGATGTGGATCCTAGAAGGGTCCTACCACATGGGCATCTGCTCTGGCCCCTCCCTGCTCTGATCCTGCCGTGGGACACATGGGTGGCCCCTCCCGCCCCTTCCCTTCCATGGCACTTGGAGGCTCCAGCCCTCCAGGGGTCTGCCGTGACATTTCGTGCCAAATGCCAGGGAAGCTTTTCTCACGGGGGGTGCTGTAAGGACCACAGGGGCAGCTCCCCACATCTGTCTGCCTTGGGGTGGGGGCCCACACACTCCTCACAAAGAATACCATCTATAGTGACTGTTCAAACCCCCGCCCCCCAGGCTTTCCTGGCTCCGGCCCCTCCCCCCCTCTCTTCCATGATTTTTTGCTTCGGAAACTCCTCATTTTGCAAAGACCTTGCTTTGAGTTTTGTCATTCTCTGGTGTGGAGGGGACTCCAATGTCACTCGGGATCGTTAAATATAAGCCGTGTAACCATTAGGAGGCAGGCACTCTTAGCCCCACCTTCCAGATGGGGAAACTGAGGTTCCAGGAGGGGATGTGACCTGCCCAGGGCGACACTCCAGAGCTGGGGTTTGGAGGCAGGTTTCTGGCATCCTTCATCATATCCGCATCTAGACAGCTGCAGGCATCACTTACCTTTTCCCCTTTGGGGCCTGGAAGTCCCTGCAGAAAAAAAGGTAAAGAAAAACAGGCCTGAGAGGGGAGGACTGGGCTGGGTTCCCTAAGGCTTTGAGCAGAGCCATGGGGAGCTGGGTGGGGAAACACATGTCTGTCTGCTTTTTTTTTTTTTTTTAAAGATTTTATTTATTTATTTGACAGACGGAGATCACAAGTAGACAGAGAAGCAGGCAGAGAGAGAGAGGAGGAAGCAGGCTCCCTGTTGATCAGAGAGCCCGACAGAGAAGCAGACAGAGAGAGGAGGAAGCAGGCTCCCTGTTGATCAGAGAGCCCGACGTGGGGCTCGATCCCAGGACCCTGGGATCATGACCTGAGCCGAAGGCAGAGGCTTTAACCCACTGAACCACCCAGGCGCCCCTGTCTGCTTTTAATGACAGCTGCCCTTGCTGGGCCCAGGACAGTTCCACACCCCGCTCCTCTGCGTGAGGGGCGCCAGGGGACTTGAGGGTGGCCGGGACCTCTCAGCTGAGGTAGGAACACATGTGCTGTCACTCCCCCCACAGAGCAGAGCCCTCCAAGCTCAGCCCCTCCTGTGCCTGATGGCTGCTGCCCCTAACTTTCCATTATCCCTTCAGTCCATAATAGGTTTGCTGGTTCATTCACCTAATGACTTGTCCACATAAGAGGTCAGCTCATTTCTCCATCCTCTGATATGGCACACATCGTCTGGCAGCTCCTCAGTTACTTACTATTTCACTCATTCCTTCACTCTCTTGTCCGCTCAACCATCATGCATTTGTCCACCCGCTAACTCAGTCTCCCATGCGTCCAACCATTGTACAATCATTGATTTATAACCTCATCTATCTTTCTACCCAACCATCCTTCCTTCCTTCCGTCTACCAACCCATACACCCATTCATCAACCCATTCATCTATCTATCCATTTGTCCTTTTATCCAACCATTTATCAATCCATTTTTTTCATCCACCCATCCATCCATCCATCCATCAATCCATTCATACATCCTTCCTTGCATCCACCCACCATTCATCTGTCTGTTCTTCCATGCAACTATTCATCAATCCATCCGTCCGTCCATCCATCCATCCATCCATCCATCAATCCATCCATCAATCGTACCATCCATCGACCCAGCCATTCTTCCATCAGTCCATTCATGCATCCTTCCTTCCATCTACCCACTCCATCCATCTTTTCATCAACTCTTTCATCTATCCATCCATCCGTCTGTCCTTCCATCTAGCTATTCATTATCCATTTGTTTGTCCATCTATCCAGCCAGTCAAAGATAGTCCATCTATCCATCTGTCTATCCATTTATATACATCCTACCTTCTTTCCATCCATCCATCCATCCTACCATCCATCCTTCCATCAATCCATTCATACATCCTTCCTTCCTTCTACTCACTTATGCATTTGTTCATCAACTCTTTCATCTATCCATCCATCTGTCTGTCCTTCCATCCAGCTATTCATTATCCATTTGTTCATCCATCTACCCAGCTAGTCATCCATCCATCCATCCTCACTCCCTTCCATACATCTATCCCTCCATCCATCAATCCATTCATCTGCTATCCACCCATACATCCACCCACCCACCTGCCTATCCATCCACATCCAATTATTTATTTAATTATGCTATCTCCCTGAGCAGCATGTTCATTCTGCTGAAGGTGCCTGTGGACCATAGGCTCCTGGCCCAGGTGTTGAGAACTCATCAGCCCAATGTCTACCATTGGGAAGTCTTGAGACTGGGGGGTGGGGGGAATGCTCTGTGCCTGGGGCTTGCTAGGAGGGGCTTGTATGTTTTGAAGGCTGACTCGATGTCAAAGTGCAATTTACACTTCTCCACATCCCCAGCCTGCAGGGCTGGTTCAAGTGAGGAGGGTCAATGGACCCATTTGACAGAGCCTCAGGCTTGTGAGGTGAAGGGCCTCCCCAAGTGTGCACAGTCAGCGGGTAGTGGAGCTGGATTTGAACTCCAGTCTGATGCCCAAATGACTTCTCTCTGTGCTGAGCCAGGTTCCCGGTGGCCCCTTCCCTCTGGCACCCTCCCCCCATCACTTCCAGCCCCACAAGTGGCCCAGTCCCAGGACCACCTAGAATTTCCCTGTAATCACTTACGGGCTTGCCATCCAGACCCAGTGGCCCCTGGAAATAAGAGAGACAGAGAGAGAGGTTACACACCAGATAGGCATTTCCTGTGTGTTTTATGACCCAGAAGCACTACTGGGTATCAAAGACCAAAACCTGACGTGAGCCCATGGTCTGAGTACATTTCATGTGAGGGCATCTGGGTGTTTGCTGTCCAGAATCCCCTCCTCCAATGACAGAGCCCTTCTTCTTCTCCAGGACCACCCCCATCTGCACATATGGGGCTTGGGAGTACGGTCACATTCCCTCAACCAGGGTGAGGGGTTCAGGGATGAGTGTCATGTCTGGGACTTTGGATGGTGCCCTGTAGGGGAAAGAGGGCTCTTTTCTCTGATGGGACTAAGGTGGAGCTCCTGGGGGCACCATGTGGCTTGAGGAAGAGCCAACAGAGAGGAAGCCAGAGTGAAGAGACAGAGAGCAGAAAAGGTCTGCTGCTGAAACCCCCCACCCCTGCACACTTTGTTTGTCCGCAGCTTTTCTTTAATCCAGTTTGAACTGAGTTCACTCACATGTAAGTCAGCAGGGACTGAACGCAAAATGCATGTGTTGAAACTTAACCCCTGGTGTGATGGTGTTAGGAGGGGGGGCTTTTGGGAGCCTCATGAATGGGGCGTCAGCCTATTTAGAAGAGAGGTTCCAGAGAGCTGCTGGCCTCTGGGTCCACCATGTGAGCACACAGGGAGGAGGCAGCCGCCTGCAGCCCGGAAGAGGGCCTCCCACCAGAACCCCGACCGCACCGGCATCCTGACCTCACACCTCCAGCCTCCGAGGCTGCGAGAAGTCGATTTCTGTTGTTTCTAGACCACCCAGTCCGTGGCCCTTTGTTAGAGCAGCCCAAACAGGCTAAGACAGGCCTGAAGAGTCCTCAAGGCTCTTTTAATTCCCTGCACTGCTGTGGCCTTAGCAGGCCAAAGTCAAGGTCAAGAGAAGCCAAATCTCCCAAGGCTGGGTCCCAAGGGCTGGCACATCGCAGAGGCTCTGGGGGCTCCGTGGTGTCTGCAGGGGGTCAGGGACGGCTGCCAAGCAGCCCCCACGGGCGCCCTCCGCCTGTCCAGCCGCTGCCCGCTCAGAAAGCCCCGCTGAGCTCCCCCACCAGGTGGAAGTATACAAGAATCCGAGGGCAGTGCCACCAACTGGGTCTGACCAGTCTCTGTCAACCCCTGTCCTCCACCCTGCGCGGCCTCCTCGTCCCACAGATGCTGCAAATGTTCTAGGCAGCTCCACTCTCCTGAGCCTGCACATGGACCGCCTGCCCGCCGGGCACACCCCTCACCCCCTTGTGTGCCGTCTTCTGTTCAGTCACCTCCTCCTTCACGATGCCCTTGGGGCTCCTTCACTTCTCAGAAGTCAGGCCATCTGTCCCTGCACCGAGCCCATTTTCTAAGGGTCGCACATTACACCGTGCGGTCTACACAAGTCTACCAGTGGATCCAGGAAAAAGGTCTGATCCCCGTGTCAACAGTGCTCGGATGAGGCCTGGCACAGAGCACGTGCCTCTCAGTGTGTGTTGAGTCAAAGCAAGGAAAGGTAGTGAGAAAGACGAAGCGTGAGTAGATATGTACAGTATAAGGTGGAAAGTCTGGAGCAGGATAAAGGGTTCTGGCAGTTCTGAGCAGGGGGCAGCCTGCCAGGCTCTGGGGGGTATTGGGAAAGATTAGGGAGTTCTGGCCTGAGAAAGTAACAATTGGGGCTTTAGGGAGGGCACCGTGGGCAGAAAGCACAGCCCAGAGGCACAGGGCCTGTGAGCAGCAGAGAGGAGTTCTGTCTCAGCATCAACCTCCCTCCCATCCTGGTCTCTCTCATGTGTCCCTGCCCTGCAGAGGCTGCACTCCCATGCCCAGCACTGGCGTCCTCATGGCCCAGCCCAGCCTCTGCCTTGGGGCTGTCCTGTGTCCCTGGTCTTCCCAAGCTCTCTGCTTCTTTCCCATATTCATGCCTTCACCTGAGCTGTTCCCTCTGCTTTCAAGGCCCTGCCCTGGCTCCTCTACCTGGGAGACACTCTCTGGCTCCTGGAAGCCAGTCTCTCCTCCCTCAGGTCTGCACACGGCCTGGGGCCCAACAGCGAACAGTCAGCTTCCGTGGCTGCACAGTCAGACCTCCCTGAACTGGGCCAGCTACGTCCCCAGATGCCCTAAGAGGGGCTTTTCCTCATACCAGGGTCTTGCTCCAGGCAGGAAGCCAGGGCAGTTCTGAAAATTTGTCCCTTACGTGGCCCTGGCCACCAGCCTCAAGGTCGGCTGAGGGTCTGGACTTCGAGGCCATGTCCTGGGGGCAGAAGGAATCCCAGGAGATGGGGTGGGGTCTAGGATCTGAGGGCTCCTGGTCAGGAGGGTTCCCAGGCTGAGGCTCACCAGGGACTGCCCTCGCTGGCCCACCTCCTGCTGGCTCCCAGCTGGCCTGACCCCTGGATCCATGGGCCTGAGACCTCCCTCTTAGTCTGCTAAAATTGGACCCCGTGCACAGGCCCTGCTAGGCCTCACCCAGGCCCAGAACACACAAGGGGCCCGTCCCACCCTGAGTCTCACCTGGGGGCTCCTCGTGGCCCCCATACTAAGTCTGAATCACCCCAGCAAGCCTGTAAGGCAGGTGTTATCATCCCTGTCTTCCAGGAGGGAACTGAGGCCCAGGGAGGGAAAGGTCTCGCTCCAGGTGACCCACCCAGAACAGGCCAGGGCTGGAGTCCAGAAAGGCACTTCCACTCTCTGTCCTCCAGGCGCCGATATCCCCCAGCCATGCTCCCTCATCTACCCAAATCCCTCATGCAGACAGAGATGAAAAAAGAGAGGAAGCTTAGAGCTAAGTTAATCTCCTTCCTCTTCCCATGCCATGCCGTGCTGGGAGGGAGGACACATGGGCCTCGCAGCTAAGTCACTGGCAGCAAGGGGCCCCTCACAGGCCCTGGGACCCAGTGCAGGGCTGGTCTGAGGGAGGCCGGCAACCCTCTCCTTGGGGCCACCGAGGAGGAGACTCTCCGGGGCCACACCCTTCCCGGCCTCCACCCTCACTGCCGCCCTGGGAAGCAGGCCCCACAGCCCCATCCTGCAGATGAAGAAGCTGAGGCATCGGGACCGTCCAAGGGCTGAAACAGGCCCTCCTCTCCAGGCAGTTCTCCCTCTCCCACAGCACAGGGCAGCACCCTTGACAGGTGGCCCCTAGATCCCAGGGAACCTAGGACGTAGGCTCGCAGGCCTTGCCCTCCTTCTGGGATTCCTGGGATGTCTGTCTCCCCAACTGAACATCCCCTCTTTGGGCAGAGCTCTCTGGACCCTCTGTCACCCTAGGGCTCTACCAGAGAGAGTGCTGGGTCAGACAGATGTGCTTGCTGTGTGACCCCAGGAGAGCCACTCAACCTCTCTGAGCCTCAGCATCCTCATTACCTGTTCTCCCCAGTAGGGCTGTTCCTGCCCTGGGTTTGCCCCAGCTTTCCCCTAAACTCTGCCACACCGTGGCCTCCTGGCAGCCCCTGGGATTTGGAGAGAGCTGCTCCAGAGGTCTCAGGGGGTATATCTGGGGCCTCTGGAGGCCCACGGACTTCCACCCACCACACTGTTTCCTGGCCCCAAGCTGTGCTTTCCCAGTTCCTCCACTGCAGACAGTCCTGCTTCCACCTGGAGAACTCCTACTCGTTCCTCAAAGCCCAGCTCAAATAGCCCTTCTGGGAGCTTCCAGGAGGAGCAGCAACATCCTCTGAGGCTGTCTACCACAGAGCTGGGTCCCCATCCTGGAAGAGAGCCCTGGGGCTGAGCTCCAGGAGACATGCCACGTGGTCAGAGGAGGCTGGCTCTGGATTCAGACACACCTGAGACCAAATCCAGCCTTGCCCACATGCCAGCTGGTGACCTGGACCTCCTCACTTGTGACAAGGAGATGCAGGCCTCCCTGTATCACTGGCCTGTGTGTGTGTGTGTGTGCGTGCTCACGCACGTGCTATGTGCACTCAGTAGAACACATGAACCACGCAGAAGGAGACAGAACAAAGCAAACCTCCTTCACCCCTCCCCAGCTCCTTTCCCAGGGGGGCGGCACAGGCACCACTGTCTGCATGACCACTCCCCCCCACCTCAGGAAGCAGTCTGTGTCTGGAGAAGCACATATGTGGAGCCCCTGCCTTTCTTATTTTTAAAGCCCTCTACGGGCTGCAGAGTGAACATCTGTGGGTCCATCTGGTTTCAGGATGCCAGGGACTCTGGTCCCTGGCCCCACAAGGCATGTCCTAGTCTCCGTGCCACATTCCAGGAAAGGCTTATGACACATGCTGAGACCTGAGCATCATCCCCGTGGCCCTTCCCTAATACCTGTAGTCTCTCCCATGCAATTCCCTGGAGAACTTTCTAGAATGTAGATCTGCTCTCCTGTTGCAGCCCCTCTGGGGCAGCCTCACTCCTGCAGGATGATGTCCCAACCTCCTGGTCTGGTGCCCAAAGCCCGCCTGCCCCTTGCTGGGCACAGAGCATGTGTCCTGGTTCAGCCCTTCCTGGGGCTGGGCCTGTCTCTGGTCCATCAACGCTGGGTCCCCAGGCCCCATTCCAGGATGTCTACTGTGTGGACAGAGAGCACACAGGGCTGTGGGTACCCTGTTTTTCTAGAAGCGTCTGCTGCAGGAGGGAGCCTGAGATGTTCCTTTGACTTGGACCCCATAGGAGGAATGGATCTGCGGGTCAAGTTAAGTTTGAAAAACACCAGGGAACACACTGTGAAGTAAGTTTCTTTCCTGCAGATTGTCTTGTCTAAACCCTCGTTCTGCTTGTGGCTCTTCAGGAGGGCAACGTTCCCAGCCTCACCAGGAGGCTGTATGGACCATCTATGAACCAGACGTTTCCATGGGCTGGAAAGATGCCTGAGCCAGCCTCTGGAAGTCCTCAGAGGAGCAGAAATGCTCGAGGGAAGGGCCAGGAGCTGGTCTGAAGGGAGTCAAGGACAAACACGGGGTGGAGGGCACGGTCAGCCTGGACTGAGGCGGGGAAGGGTCCAGACTGAGTGTTCTAGCCGACAGCAAG